GGCCCGGAGCGCTTTGGCGGCTGCACCCGCCCCCGGAAGGGCGCGGGGCGGCCGAGGGGAAGGGAGCGGCGCGGCGCGGCCGGCACGGCGGCGGCGCCATCGCCATGAACGGCGCGGCGAACCCGCTGCTCGACAAGGAGGAGCACCCGCTGCAGCTGGGCGAGAGCTTCGAGCGCCGGCCCAAGGCCTCCTTCCACACCATCCGCTGTGAGCGCCCGCCTCCCGCTTCCTGCCGCCCCCCCCCGCGTCCTGCAGCCCGCGAGCTCCGCGTTGCCCTCGGTGTCCGCACCCTCCCTGCCCGGCCTGCACCCCCTCCCCTTATATTCCCTTGCTTTATCCCTCTGTATCCTCCCTGCCCGGCCTGCACTCCCTTCCCCTCACACCCCCCTGCTCTATCCCCCTGTATCCTCCCATTCCCAGGCCAGTCCTCATCCCTCCTCCTCCCAGCTCCCCCTTCCCCTCTTATCTCCCCTCCCAGCACCCTCTTCCCCTCATATCCCCCCATCCTCTTATATCCCCCTGCTTTATCCTGCCTGTATCCTCCCTGTCCTGGGGTGTCCTCATCCCTCCTCCTTCCAGCACCCCCTTGTCCCCTCTTGTCCCCCCTTGCCCACCCTCCCAGCACCCCCTTGTCCTCATCATTTAGTGCCCATATCCTCAGCTCCCTGTCCCTCTGCGCCCATCTCTCCCGGCCCTTTCCCCCCTGGGCTTTGTGGTGCAGCCGGGGATGGGAGGCCAGGGGCCCGGTGAGGCCGGCCAGGGCAGCGCTTCAGGGCAGAGCAAAGGGGGCCGCAGCAGAGGAGCGGGCGCTGGGGCCCTTCCCGAGGGACCCCCGGGCAGCGCAAGGGGACAGAGCAGCTCCCCGCTCCCCGCTCAGGGCAGCTCCCCGCTCCCAGCGCGGGCCCTGCAGCTCCCCGCGCGCCCGGCCTGGCCGGGCCTGTGCGGGCAGGGCCGTGTGGGGAGGAGGGCAGCTCCTCGGCAGCCAGAGCGGCCCCAGCTCGGGTTAAAGCGCTTCTTTTCCCAGCGAGGCAACGTGTGACCTGGCAGCCTTTTCCCTTGCCAAGCTGGCTCTGTAGCTCTATCCAAGGCACTTTCCAGGAAGGCCGGCAGAAACGGCTCAGGCACACACAGGTTGCCTCATGTGTGCTAATGATGAAGAACATAAGAGAAGTTTTGAGGCAAAGGTTCTAACAGGAATCTGTTTGGGAGTAATTCTTTTTTCTGAGACATGGGACATGCTACTTTCTAGCACAGGGTACGTTTTATATCATATTAGAAGATTATTTTGGAGAGGAGATCACTATATCTTGGTATTTTAATTCTATGGACAAGAAGTAGCTTTTCATCCCCTAAATAAGGCCAGAACAGGAGATGAGAATAATGCTGATAATGCTAAAGTTGTATTCTAGCATCTTTGTGTTAGCGTGGGGAATTTATGCTGCTAATAGCAGCATTTTTGTTATATGGTGTATAATTCTAGGCCTGCTTTCATGGCTTGTTTTCATACACTGTGAGCAAGTAATTTCAGTGAGATTAGTCACCTGAGTGATGCTTGAAAGAACAATTTTCTATACTGAGCTATTATTCAAGTAGACGATCGGTGTTTACAGCAAAGCTCTTTCCCTAAGTAGTAAACTCTTAATAGTAGATCAGCACTTAAGTTTTGTGGGATTTGCCTCTATTATACTCATGTAATCCCATGATCATAAGGAATACCATACTGTATGTTTGGTATATTTAAATATTCATTCACACTCTCAGTTTCATCCAGCACTAGCCCATTTATAAATAAAAACTTTGAAATAGCCCAACCATCAAATAAATGCTAGTAGTGCAGGAATTAAACCCAAGGCGTGTCCATATAAAAATACTTTGGATTTCTAGAGGTGAATGGACTTCACTAATCCATTTCTTAAGGGATTGTGAAGCCACAAGGCCCTTCAGATTACAACTGAAGAATGTGGTACCATTTTCCAGGAGCTTTCTGTATGCTATTTTTTCAGTCACTTCCAAGTGAGATCTCCTGTTTTCCTGGCTACAACTTTTTCTTCTAACCATTGATTTTTAAAAGATTAGTCTGGGATCTGAGCATCGTATTGTTCTCTTCATCCTCTTAATACAAACTACAGTAAGAGGATTTTGCAGGCTAAATTTCCTCCTTAAATGTGTTGTGCTGCAGGAGATGTGTTTTCCTCCTTAAAATACCTTATTTTTTTCTGCAATATTTATGAAATACGGGACGAAAAAGACTTGATTATCCATGGAAAACACATCTAACGAAACTTGACTTTTGGAAAAAGGCCTACAGTTGCATTTAGATGGGCATGTGTGTGCTCCATTTACAGGAAACGCGCAGGAAAATTTACAGGAAAATTATCCAGGCACATAGAACTAGTAAACTTCCCAAAATAAAATAATTCATGTTTGAATATTTGTTTGGAATAATTCTGTTTTTGTGATACCTAAGAAAGCAGCCCACTAGCGATACATTCCTTTTCAGGCAGTGGCTCTGCTGCTGAAGCTTTTGATCCCTGTTTGGCAAAGACACTGGCCTTTCTACCGCCAGCTTATGTTTTATTTAGCAAGCTTGCACATAAAATAAACGGGAAACAATAGCCAGAAACAGATTGTTCAGATGAAAACCAAGGATATGATTTGGTCTGGCAGTTACGGCATGTGGATTAAGTCAAGTGTGCCTGATTTTGCTTGTTGTGCTGTCAGAGTACAACTCAATTAGACATAAATGTCCTCCTAATGAGGATTTATTACAAAGCTGTTTTTTTTCCCCCTGCAAATGTGCTTTTCATAGTGAAATTGCATTGTAAATTTGTTCCGAGATATTAATATCCTAACTAATGCAATAATTAAAAGTCTTGGTTGTGAATGTAATTACACATTTTCATATTCTGAGATGCTAGGATTGAATGGATGCTTGTTTAAAAAAAAAAAAAAAAGGCAATCCTATATCCATTATCTGTCTGATACTATTTCACTTTGTCTGAATCCTCTATCAGGACATTACAGTTCTGGTCATTTGTTCTGTATTTTTTTAATGGCTTGTCGATGCTGCAGAGTTGTTGAGGGTAAAATACTTGGAAGTTAAAATCTTCTTAGTTCAACTAAACACCCTAAACAAAAGCATCTTGCTGGGAGGAGAGGCCATGCTCTGCAAGGCAGCAAAAGCACTTTGAACGAGAGGCAACTGAAAGCCAGGACTGGTTACTTAAGAGCAGGTCCTTTTTCCTCCCAAGAGGCGTGTGAGAGCTACTCTGCCCCCAGAGGTGGAGGCCAGAGGCCTGGGGGCAGAGAGGCCCTTACAGAGTCAGAATATCAGTGAGGCCACTAAATTAGTCTTTGTCAGGGACAGAGGTGACTCTTGCAGAGCACAGGGACCTGCCTTTAACCCTCTTTTGAGATGCATGGAGCGGCGCTACCCTTGTCTGCAGCATCAGGTGTCCCTGTGCAGCCTCAGCAGGGAGGAAGCTGCTTCTAGACCTTCAGACATGAAGTTCTAGAAACTCGCTGCTGTTTCACAGAGAACTTTTAGTGTCTGGTGTCATTGTGTGGCTGGGCTCTGAGCAGGGACACGCTGCACTGGGATGTTACTCTGTCCCTGCTGTAAACTCCAGCATGCGTTTTAACGTCCCTTACAATCGCAGAGAAAATGTAAGGATACTTTACAGGGGAGGATGAACTAGGAAGAAACAGTTTTGCATATGAATATATGAATATAATTCAAATTATTTTCCTCTTTAGATGATTTTAAACCAGCATCGATTGATACATCGTGTGAAGGGGAGCTCCAGGTTGGTAAAGGAGATGAAGTAACGATCACCTTGCCACATATTCCGGTAAGTTGGTTGTGTGTTGTATTGCAAGCTTCTGTATTTACTCTCTAACAAGTTTACAAGTAGTTGCTATGTAGGTACAGTCTACTATAAATGTTATTTTCCCTTTCATCTTTGTTAAAACAAGTGGATATTTCAACTACCAGCTTGGGAAAGACCAGTTGTGACTTTTTAAGGATTGTTTTTGTGAGGTTCTCATCTTTGCCTTTGTTTCCTTCTTTTCTGCTATTCCTTGACAAGCAAGGAGACTTTACAGTGGGCTGAAAGTTTGCACCTAGTTTTCATTGCATTTTGGTGCTTGTCTTAAGGAACAAAGTCAGAGTAGTTTTGAGTGGAGTCAAGATTTGAGGTTCAGAAGCCATAGGCAGGCCTTTAAGCCTGTGCTTTCCATTACTGAAGCATGTACAGATAGCATAGATTATTCACTGCCTTTACATTTATTAGTGGATGCTAAAAAGGGTTTTCTAGCTAGTGGCAATGAAGTGTCTGTTCACTTCCACCTCAGATTATGCTGTAAAGTTCTGCTGTGTCAGATGGTCAAACAACAATAAAACAAATGGTAAAGCTATTTGCAGATGTTTTGTAATTGAAGAATCAGTGCTTTCCTTACAGGGCGGGGGGAAAAAGAACTGCTTGCATTATGGAGCTGGATTGTTTAGTATCTTGGTGTTTTGGTGTTTGTGGAGGGGTCAACAGGTTAGAAGCCATCTGTCAGGTCTGTTTGGTGTCGTTTATTCTACTGTGTTAGTATTTTGAATTACTGGATGATGTGGTAATTCTCACCAAATGAGGGTTTACCTGCTCCCCTCACCCCTTTTTTCATATGGCAGCAGTCACCTTTAGTGCTGCAGGATGTGGCATAGTTGATTTTTGTCTATAAAAATAGTTAATATAGTAATGTTAAGTACAACAGAAAATAATACATTTAATAGCAGTGACATTCATCTTTGACAACTGAGTTGTTTCTTTATCGTTCGTGTATTGAGCAAAATTGCTTGCGTTGTCCCTTTCCAAATCTCTCCTGCTGGTTTGGATCCGATTGTCCTCCCGTGAGCGCGAAGAGCCTTCAGCTTCCAGCAGCCTCTGGGGCCGTGCAGCCTGCGGCACAAAACGCAGCCACGGTGCCTGTGTTTTCCCAAGGCAGCCAAGGAAAGGGAGCTTGAGCTTTCCTGGCCAAGCTCAGCTGCGTTAGCTGCAAAACCCTGAGGAGTTCTGGGATCACTGCAGCCTTACAGGGCTTACTGAGTTCCTTGTGTGCTCAGCTTTGCTTCTCAGTTACCCCCAACCTAGTTGGGGTTCAGGTTTTTGATGCTGCCTGATCTCTGGTTACTGCTTCAGTGGAGTTTTCTGATGTCCATGGCTACTAAAAGAACTTCAAATACTAATTGCGAGGTTAGTGGCTCTAATGTTTGGTAATCAGCCTTGATTGAGGAAGTGAAGAATTTTTGCTGCATTTGGAAAAAAAAATCTTGAAAACCAATCTAAATAAATGTTACCTGTTTCATTTACCACCTTTTTATATCCTCTTATCAGCAGGATCTGAAAGCCAGTGCTATTTAGGCACCAACCTTAAAACATTTAAATGTTTAATTTTAAGTAAAAGGGTGGGACTGTTAATTTGCTTAAGTGTGGCTTTCATTTGTACTTTCTTCTTTTTTCGCCAAAATTACAGGCATTTCTGAATCAGGAGGTTTCTAGGTAGCAGAATAATAAGCTGCTTTTATCAGTTCTGTTTGTGTTTGTGCTGTTTGCTTTGTGACTTATGTGCCAGCGGTGAGCTGGCTTTGATTTTTCAGCTTATGTTTTATCTTCTTAAGTGTTGTTTTCCTCTCTTAAATGTAGGAATGTTAAAAATATAAAATGTCTTTGAAGATTTGACTGTTGTGAGACTATGGTCTTTTCTGAACTGTACTCTTACTGAATCTTTGTGAGGAATCCTGATTTATTTTGTGCTTGCTGTTCCAGACCCTTTTTAGATTCAAACATACTCTATTATCAATATTGAGATTAGGGTTTTCATTTGGAGTGTTTAAATTTAATTGTTCTTTCTGCTGTTTAGAATAAAATGTGGAAGAGCGTGTTCTTTTCCTCTTGCCCTTGGTTTCAGGTACTATCCAATTTGTGCCCAGGTGCCTAAATAAACATTTTTTTTTTTTAATTTCTCTTGGTCGCTCATATGAAATCTGAGTATGCAGTGCTGAGAATGCACTTGTGTCTGCATCCCTTGAGTAGACATGTCCTCTCTTTGATATGGTCAGGTCCATACTGCTGTGTACAGAAAGGCAATAACTAATTCTACCTGCTCTACCCCAAAATCCCTGTGAGGCTTGTGTGTGGGAGCAGTATGGATGAGCACAATCCAAGCAGTGTTTGCTGGTGTGCAACCACCATCTCAATTTGCCTTTATTACTCCTCAGTTTTACTCACTGAATTTCTGTGGTTCTTCTAATGCAGCATTGGGTGGACTTGGGGACTTTTCTGGAAGGAGTCAAAATATACCCCTTTACTTTTGCAAATACAATTGTAAATGTTCAGCATCCACATGCTAATTTGGCTTTGAAGGTGGTTGCTCTTACACAGGGTGCATCATTATATTATGCTTATAATCTAGCATAAAATTAAAAAAGAAAAACAAACTTGGTATATTAAATATAAGGCAGTGTAAATATTGTGTCAATTGGCCACATGCTTCTTTAGACAGACACACAAAATGTGTGTCTATTTTATTTTTATTTCTTATCTAAGATTTCCAGAGAAGAAATTTCAAGAAAATTTCTGACATTTGTCATAGCCAACTATTCAAATTATCGTTGTTACCATTTTGGGAGGGAGGGCTGCAAATAATGGCAAGTAAGGCAAAGATGTTCTGTCACTTCAGAGACATTTAAAATGATGAAAAGCATAATAAAGCTGTGAGGAAACACCTGATCTCCTGCATATAACTATATTTTTCCCTTTTCATGAATGAGCATTTTCTGTAGGAACTGCATATTAACTTCTCCAGTCTCTAGGTCAGAACAGTTTGCATTGTTTGCATTTGACTCAGTGTTTATAAACACTTTGCATAGAGGGCATATAACCAAACACGTGTGCTCTCTTTTTGATGCCAGGGTTCAACTCCACCCATGACTGTGTTTAAAGGAAATAAAAGGCCATACCAGAAGGACTGCGTGCTTATTATCAATCATGACACTGGCGAGTATGTACTGGAAAAACTCAGCAGCAGCATTCAAGTGAAGAAAACGAGGTAAAGCTGGGGATAGGGCTAAGTTAATGGCATGATTTCTTGCTAAAGTTTTCTATTCAGACTGTGTCGTTTGAACCTGAGCTGAATTTTCTTTTACTTGGTGGTAAATTTTAACTACTCGACCTTATGGACCAATTATCTTGCCTAAAAATGCAAAGAGCTATTGGAAGTGTGAATCCAAGAGCAAAGAAGTAATAGATTCCCCACTACAGAAAGGCCGTAATTATAGTTTACCAGTGAAACACTTCTGATGACTTGGAGCTTTGGAAGCTGGCAAAAGGGTGAGATGTTTTTCAGGAATCCCTAGTTTAGTTGAAGATGGAGGTGTTGGACTTCCCAGGTTCATTCCCTGCAGCCTCCTGTGGGAGTCATGAAGCTTTAATAACACACTGTCAAGGAGCAAGAAACACTTGTTTTTGCACTGGACTGATGATATCGAAGTGGAGCAAAAGTCCAAAGACCTTCAGATGGAGGGGGAAAAATTGAAAACTGAGCAAATAATGGCTTGAAGGCTTTGCCAAGACAAATTGCTGAGGCCAGAAGTCCTCTCTGACCCAATATTCACACTTCACTGCCTAAATTCCACCATACAACATGTGCAGTTGAAGTATTTTTAGTACTCTTGCTGATCTGCAAGCATCTGAATTATTGAATCGTCCTTCATGATGGACTCATCAGTTATTGAGATCCTGTGATAAAGCAGTTAGGCAGATGGCTCATGCAGAAGACACTCTTGAATGCTTTTACAAATGTGATTTATTTTTTACAAGACAAATTTTATTGTCATGTACAAGTTCTAGCTACTAAAGCTACAGAGTTATGTGGGTTACAGTTCATCCACACGTGGCTGAAAGTTTGCTGGACAGGTTGAGTTCAAAGTAAATGGGCTGCAGCTCCTCTGAGTCAGTGATGTGAAAACTCATCCACGCAGCATTTAAAGGCAGGACATCTTGTCCAGTGCATGGGAGTGCATGAGAGATGAGATTTGAAACCCCGACCATTTACGGGTGGCCAAGGTCCACTCACCTGAATTTTGTCCAGGTGAAGCAAAGGGAGAGCAAAGAATATTTCCAGTTTTCACAAGCAACAGATGGGCAAGAAAAAAAAAAAAGGCAGAGCGGTTGGGTGGGGGGAACCTCTTCAAAAGGAAGTTGTTGGTAATGTTTTAATACAAATAGACTAAAAAAGCCAAAATGCAGCTTCATGGTGCTGCTGAGGTGCTGCTGAGTGTCTCTGGTGTGTTGTTACAGAGCGGAGGGCAGCAGTAAAATCCAGGCCCGAATAGAACAGCAGTCTGCCCGAGCCTCTCAGCCTCCACCACAGTTCAGAGCCCCAACCAAGCCAGCAGTTGGACCTAAAACTTCTCCTTTGAAGGACAACCCTTCACCTGAGCCTCAGCTGGACGACATTAAGAGAGGTAAAGAAGGGTTTGTAGTTTTCAAGATACGGTTGTTTGTGTCTGTCTTTTTTTTTTTTAATAAAAACTGTGACGGTGCAATTTATAAAAACATGCTGGAATGTGAAGGGATTAAAAGCTGGTACTTGACAGCTGGTTTGTCATCTTTATTTCTTGTTTAAAGGCATCTTAGTGAATAAATTATTCACTTCTACCAACATAGATATTTATACTGCAGTCTTTTCTGGCATGAGAGAACCTTCTCTTTGCTGATATTTTTTTTTATCTTCCAAACTATTTCTCTGTGCTAAAAAGAAGGCAAAAATGAGTGTTAATTCACAAAAAGCAAACTATGGCAGCTGGGAGCTAGGCAAGTTGAATGGGTGTCTTAGGCAACATGGACAACAACACGCAAAGCTTGTAGTCCAAGTGCCAGTTATGCAATCAAATAACTCGGGAAGAAGTTATTCCTGCTCAGAGTGAGCTTGGAGGCAGGTGCTCAGCGGCTGGAAGGGCCGGGTGGCTCCGTCCCGTTGAGAAAAGTGGAGTCTGTGCCACGCGGGCACAGGGAGGAGGTGGCCCTGCAGCCTCCCCCTGCCAGGCTTGTGCCCTGAAGCAGCTGCGGGGCTGACTTCCCCAAGGCGGTCTGCAGCTCGAGCAGGACTTTGCGTGTCCCTGGGCACCTGCCAGGGTTAGGTGGCTGGCATTGAGGTTCCTTGCCCCAAACCTTCCTTTCTTGCTGCTGTGATGGCTGATTTTGCTCTCAACCAGACTGTAGAAGAATTTAAGTTTTATTTGATTCTCTTGGGTTTCTTGTCTGGCATCAGACACGATTATTTTACTTCCAAGATCGTTCTTTTTCTCTAGTTACTTTTTCTGGGTCTCTTCACTTATCCCTCTAGCTATTTTTGCCCGTAAACTTAGTCTATGTTAATTGCCCAGACTGTTAATTACTCAGCAAGATTTTTTTTTCACTTCATGCTCATCACTAGGTGACACTATTAGTGCTGAGCCATAAAGCCATGTGAGTGTTTGTGTAGGAGCTGACTGGTCCCACAGCTTCCCGGCAGGAGTATTTTCAATACCTGCATGATGGTCAGAAGACAGAATCAAAGTCTGAGAGATTTCTAGCTGCAGTTCTCTCAGCTTCTTTGCCATTTTTATTTCTTTTGTAATAGGCAAGGAGAGGAGATATCATGCAATATATCAATTTAATAACTGAATCGGCTATATACATGGGTTTTTGTGTGCGTGTATAATGTGTAATAAGTTACATAACCATGGGAGTGCTCTTTTGTAGCCAGGAACAATTTGTAAAGGTCACGTTTTTGTAGTAAAATAATTATAGCTGTCTGGTGTGCCATCTGTTCAGAGAGACAGAGTTTTCTACTAGTCTAAGAATGTAAGTCGCATCTCCTGGTCACTTTTTTCCACTCAAATGTCTTTTATTGGAAATAACTTTCAAGTAAGTAAGAAGTAGAGTTTTCTTTCCAAAATCAGGCAGAAGAGCACCTGACTTCTACTGTAAATAGGACCTTAATATGATGCTTCAGAGAGAGATTCCTTCAATGCCCAGAAAGAGAGAGAACAAGTTACTGAGTGGTTCTCTTCGCTTACAATATATGCTCTTTGTAACTTTTTCTAAGATGAGATGCTCATTGTAACTTCTCCAGGAGTTCTTTAATCTTTCAGTACTGTAAGCTTCTGAATATCACTTCCAGCATTGAATATATAGAATGTCAGCATGAATAAACCTTTTATGTTATGAGAATCTATGTGGGAAAGGCAGAACTGAAATGGCACCATGATACAATGACAGTATTTAATACAGCTTAACTCTACAAGCCGTGAGATGGTCTTTTTTGAACTCAGTCTTTGGCCGTGAAGATGCAGTTAGGGAAAGATAAGAGGACCAAAGACTGTTCTTTACCTTCAGGCAGTGACTTTATTTTCAGTTGAGCTACCTTCATTGTACAAATAAAGCTCAAGGTGAAATTCCACGTGGTTTCTTTACTGGACACAACACAGAACTTGCCAAATGAGGTGATGAGAGGCTGCTCTGTGACCTCCCACGCTCCCCGTGTGCCCTTCTCAAGGGTCTGATGGGACTTGGCCCTTGATGGGACGGTTTATAAGCCAGCCCCAGTGCAGGTGTCTGCCTTCAGCTGCCATTCCCTTGTCTTCCCCTTAAAGGAGAGCTGGGAAATGAAGCATCAGGTAGGTCAATTCTCACACCCACCCCATTGCATGGGTGTCCTCATTCCTCTGCTGAAGGCCCGAGGCAGAGCACACAGGAGTTGAAGCAGTCCTTTCTTCCATGCTTTAAGAGAAGCTTCCTGGCTCTCCCTGGGGTTGTGCTCCAAAGGAATCTCTTCTGGCAAGCTTTTATCATGCCATCCTGTCTGAAGGGAGCAAAAGGGAGGCAAAGTACTGCTGCTTTTGAATGCTTGGCGACACTGGATCACATTTCTTTGAGCAATGGACATTTGCACACGTATAACACAGTACCATGTATGTGCATGGAATTATTGGCATTTATTAGGCACATTTGACCACACTGGAACTGCTTTTAATTGTCAAAATGTCAAAAATAGTGACATTATTAAAGTGTGCACTACTTGAAAATATGCGTGACTATGTATCTATTTCAGAAACACTGAATTCAGTGCTTAAAAATCCGAGCAGGTCTTGTTTACCTAACATGCAGCTGTAGTCTGTAGGAATTATGCCATAGAGCTGTATTTCTCTCTCAAGGACGTTTCAATCAAATTTGCTGCACTTGACTGTAAAATACTGCTGTTTTTAGGTGCCATCTCTGCATACTCTTTAAGTGCCAATATCGAGCTGATTTCTCACCCGCTTGCACACCAGTATTAACACTGAGCATTTTGTTATGGACACAGCACCTTATTCTCTCTAAACCCAAATTGTATTTCTGAAAGTATTTTTGAAGGTTTCTTTTTGGTTAAAAACTGCCTATCTTGTTATTAAGAGAACAAACATGAACCCTTTGCTGTGATTAATAAAAAATTAGGAAACTTGATACAGAACATAGACAGCCCTGCTGAGAAAGGCTGTTTTGTCTTCATAGTGATTTTTGACCTTAAATTATTTTTATACTGAAAAACTGCTGCGTTGACTGCCAGTGTAGAGCAGCAAGCTGTTTTACTTTCCTGAAAGAAAGCCTGAAGTCATAGCATGAAACATGCACAAGTTAAGGCTGCCCTAGCAATGTCAACCTTTTCGGAGGATGTAGCCTCAATTAAGGCAACTGTTCAGAAATAGACTGTAGGAAAATCTTTCTTAAAAGCAACTGCTACACTTCACTCTTGTCAGCCTTTATACCTTCAAGTGCATCAGTGTGAGGTGTTTGATCTTGTGGAGCAAAGTGATTCAAGAAAGGTTTGACCTCCATCCTTTGTTTTGACATATATTTTGAGATATATGTGTGCGTACACACACGTCTGTTTTAGCTAACGGCAACATATAGCCAAGGCTTTGGTAGTTTGTAACCACGCTAATGTAACAGGCACGTAGGAAAATGCAAAAATCAAACAATTACGAAGCGGATGTGTTTTTCCTTTAAGGCTTTGGTATCTTTGTAGACTTAGCCACCATATTTCACAAGGTGACAGTGGAGGGATTTGAACAGACTTCCGTAATGGTCCTGCTGGAGTTTCGCCTGATGATTTTTTTTTTTTTTTTTAACGATGCAGCAGCTGCTGAAACATTAGTGAAAACAACTCTTCTTCCTCATTTGCACAGATGAGCTGTTTAGAGTAGTGGGCACAAAGAATTAAGAGACAAAAGAGACCTGAAAGGAAGCAGCTAGCCCATGAGGCTGTTTAGAAAAATGAACCCAAAATGAGTTGCCATCCCCAACTTCTCTCACTGGCAGCACCCGTTGAGTGTTGGGCCTTATTACCTCTTCTAGAATATCTTCTCTTTCGCTCCTCATAACCAAAACTTTTCTACAGGCTCTTGCAGCTTTCTATGTCCTTAGTGGAAAACACTCTTCAGTCTGTCTCTCATCTCTAATTCTATTTCAGGTTTAGCAGACAGCTTAACCTTCCTTTCCTGTCCTACATTGCTTCCTTGCTTTGGTTTTCACCTCGCAAACTTTACCAAGTTTGGATTTTTTCCCTTTAGTTGTTTGGATCGCGTTTCTTGTTGCATCTTTTCACTTTCACACCATTTAAGTGCAATTTTCTGGGCTGGTAAGTTCTCACCCCTGGGTGCCAAGGCACACACTCTTCTCAGCCTTATTCCTTCTCGCCCTGTAAGCATCTGTGGGTAATCGCAGATGGGAGTGGGTCTGTAGTTTGGTTATTGAATCTTTTCACCATGTGGGCTGGGGTTTGTAGCGGACTGGGCTTGCTACAATCCAGGATATTTTAACAACACGCTGTAATTAGCAACTCTAATGGTCATTGGAAGTATGTGGAATTTTTATATCATTAAGACAGGGAAAATATGTAGGCATTTTAAAGGGATAGAATGGTGGTTCATGGTTACCTTTCTTTTAATCTTTACCTATAATTTCTTAGCCTTGGGCACAGAAAGCATTTACAATTTGAAATCCTAGATAGGGGCAGGCTATCACGGACAGCCGGTGACTTGCAAGTGCCCATTTATCTGTATTTTAGCCTCTGGGCATGACATAGAGTTTTAAAGCCTGTGTTGGGAAGGGGATGAGGGAGAAAGGATCTTCTCCAACCACAGAGGATGTTCTCTTGGACTAATCATGCCTTCTTCTCCCCTCTTCTTTTTTTAAATTATTTCTTAAAGATGAAAGAGTAGGTTTATTCTTTGCTATAGCATAAAATTCAAGTCTAGGTAGTGCAGGTGGTTGTTGGAGATGGAGCTTCAGGAATTAAGTTGCAGGAGCCCCGCTATCCTTAACCATCCAGCTGGAGTTAACCGTTCCCTTCTACTGTGTCTGTCTTGGCTCTAATCGAATGTAACTGTAATGCTGAAATTGAGGTGGGAACTTTGAAATTGAAAAGTACCAGTTTTAGAGCTGGCAGAAGGAAACTGTCTCCAATCAGGATATGCTTGGCTAGAGGAACTCTCTTCAGGAAATAGTGAAGCTGGTGGCTTCAAAGTGTTAAGCAGCCGAGGGCAAATAGCTCTGATTTTTAAAGAGAAGAGTTCCAGTTGCTTGACCTTCCTTCTGGAGGAGGTCAAGATAACAGGCACTAAAATGGTGCCCTGTTTTCCATATAGGAAAGATTCATTGACACGTTCTGGCTGTGCCATGTGCCAGAAAGGCGCACCCAGCTGAAGTGCTGGGGTTCACCTCTCTGTAGCCCCTATGTGTGATTTGGGGTGAATTCCTGCTGGCCTCAGCTCCCCCTTTGTCATCTAGAGGTGATAACACGAACTCTCCCTCTTCTTTCTTTCCCGTCCCTGTGGCCCGAGTGCTGCAGGACCAGCGCTCACGTGTCACCGGTCAGGACAGAACTGCTGGCACAGCAAAAGCCGCAACTCCGAGGGGTTCACGTGTTTAACCTGACAGCACCCTGAATATCGCTGTCTGTTGGAAACCTGCCTAGGTGGACTGAGCAGTCAGAGACTTGGCCTTGTGGGGGGGTACAAAGAACTTCTCCCATAATAGTGTCTATATTGCTGGGGTTATGACAGATTTAAAAATAAACAGTGATGGTTCGAGGTGACTTTAATAGCTCTTCAACCTTAGCCATTGCTGATGGTGCCTTCATGCTATTCCACAGGGTCTAAAGTAGAGCGGGACAAACTTCAGTAACCTCCCAGTTTCAAAGTAGTCCCTGTTTCCCACCTATTTGTAAGCACTGCAGCAGATCAGGGTATTGCTGCCAGTCTGTCACAGGAATATTATGATCTGCCCCACAGCAAAGTTTCCTGATGATGTCGTTAAGGTTAATTAAAGGGAGTCGTGTGATTGTGCACTGAAGCAGGTTCATACATTACCTTAAGTCGGAGTGATTTCCATTGTATTCGTTGCCCTGTGCCCTATTCCCTCCCTCTGTGTTTTCCAAAAGCCTGGGAGTCTCTGTCTTGCAATGGAATTTAGGTTCCTGCTCATTTAGGTGCTTCTAAAAAAAATGAACTACCTATTGGGATGTAAAACTAGCAGGAGATGTACTTGCTTTGAATATAGATCATGTAACTGAAAACAAATGAAGTAGGATCTGCTTTCAAGAGCAAAATGTGTGTGTATATATAAATGTAAAAATGAATTAAGGCTTCGTGATGCTGGGCTGTACTCTTGCTTCTTTAACTTCAGCTGCAACAGCTGGGTAGAAAGTTGTTGGGATTTGGGGATTTCCCATCTTGTCTCTCTCTTATGTGAGATACTTGGATGCAGTAAATTATACTTGACAAAAGTATGGCGCCTCTTTGCCGTTGGGAATTCTTCTCCCGATTCCACGGGGCCCTGCTCACGTTTCAACGAGATGAACGTCCTTTTCTTTCAGAGCTGCGAGCGGAGGTGGAAATCATCGAGCAGATGAGCAGCAGCAGCGGGAGCAGCTCGTCGGGCTCGGAGAGCTCCTCGGGGAGCGAGGAGGAGAGCTCCAGCAGCGAGGGGGAGGAGGCGGCGCGCGCGTCGCCCTCGCAGCCGCCGCCGCAGCACTACAACAGCCGGGGCGCCGTGGCCAACGGCACGGGCCGGCCCCAGGGAAGCACCCAGCTCATGAACACGCTCCGTGAGTACAGCCTGCGTCCTGCTTCCTGGGGAGCCCGCCTGAGAGCGAGCCCTGCCACAAGCAGGTTCCCAAGGATGTATCGAAGGGGCTTGCACAGGCTGAGAGAATCACAGAATGGTTGGACGGGACCTCTAGAGGTCTTCTAGTCCAACCCCCTGCACACAGGGCTGCGTCTAAGCGGGTTTGGAAGATCTCCAGAGAAGGAGACTCCACAACCTCCCTGGACAGCCTGTTCCAGGGCTCTGGCACCCTCAATGTCCAGGAATCTTTCCTTAAGTTCCTGTGGAACTTTTGGTGCCTCAGCTTGTGGCCGTTTCCTCTAGTCCTGTTGCTGGCCACCACTGAAAAGAGGCCGCCCCCTCCTCCTCACTGCCTCCCTTGAGGTATTTATACACACTGCTCAGGTTCCCCCTCGGCCTTCTCTTCTCCAGGCTGAACAGGCCCAGCTCCCTCAGCCTTTGCTCATAGGGCAGATGTTCCAGGCCCCTGATCATCCTCGTAGCCCTGAGCAGGACTCTCTCCAGCAGCTCCACATCCCTCTTGTACTGGGGAGCCCAGCACTGGACACAGCACTCCAGATGTGGCCTCACCAGGGCTGAGTAGAGTGGGACGATCACCTCCCTTGACCTGCTGGATACGCTTTTCTTAATGCACCCCAGGATCCTGTTGGCCTTCTTGGCCATGAAGGCACTGCTGCCTCTTGGTCATCTTGTCATCCACCACGACGCCCAGGTCCCTCTCAACAGAGCTGCTCTCCAGAAGGTGAAGGCGCAGGCCACGCCCAAGAGAGGGCACGGATGAGGTCTTTGGATGAAGAGTTGAGGCCTCTTGGAAGGCATGGAAGTTGCCCAGGTTTGGTCCAGAGCCTGTGGACTTCAGTGCAGCAGCCCCCATGGACCTTGCTGAGCCTTGGTTTGGGACTCCAGATGGAGAGTGTGGGTGGCAAAGCATCAGTGCAGGGGCACGGTGTATGGGAGGGAGGAACTATTTTCCTGTGGAGACATGAATTAGGAATAGTGGGGTTGTCACACAAATCAGTTGATTGAAGGTCAGTAAACAAGTTTGATTGACATAAAACTGTGGTGTAATCAGAAATGCACAGTATTTTCCCTCTATTCATTAGCTGCAATGCTTTGTCAGAGTATTTATACTTAGCTTTTTCAGCTGCATTTTCACAAATTTCACATTTTGAAGCAAAACTTAAAATGCCAGATATTTGATTAAAATGCCACAGCTATGATGTTTAGCAGCATTGAGTCAATACCTCAAACTCTGTTGTTTCAGAAATGTTAGTACTGTTCTGGAAGAGTGGTTATTGTCCCATCAGACTATACAGGGGGTGCAGGGTAGTCTGTGCTTTTCTTGCTTTACCCTAGGTCAGGTCTGTTCTGTCTTAGTGAAATTAAAATCTTGCATTAACATGAAAGTAGAACTTAGTTATTACCCAGCACTCCTGCTTCCTGCTAAGGCACATTTGAGTGCGTCTCTCAGCACACAGGGAATGAGTGAAGCTGAAATGCAAATAAATGTAGGATTTCCAGTGTAAAGAAGGCAAGTTCTGACACTGTACTGACAGTGCTGAAAACAACACTGAAAAATGGGAGGACCCATGCAGGGTTCCTGTCAAAAAGAGTTCCACAAAGTCAGTAGGAGTCTTGCCACTGTGGGGTTCTTCGATTTGGGGATTTTTTGTGGTTATTTTTTGAGGTAGACTGTGACTCAGAGAGTAGCTTCCAAACTTGCCCTTTTTGAGATGCCTCTTCCCTGATTCTCCTGGGCTGTGGCTGCCTAGATCTGCCCTCTTGGGCAGGTCCTGCCGAGATCACTGAGTTTTGAGGAGCCTCTGATCCCAGGAGGGTTTGTGAACCTCTATTTGGGAACTGCTCCTCTTTTTTAGGCAGTGAGTGATTCTCACCCCAATTAATGTCCCTGATGATACAAGTCTGTGGTGCCCACCTACATGGGGAGAAGCCTCCCTCATCCCCAAGCTGGGGTTTGGGTTTTTTTAACATTTCTTTTTTTCAGCAGGTCAGTTGTGACTGATTGCACAGCTGCTTTGGGGAGAACATAGGCTTGAGGCTGATCATGAGAGAGTGCTCTTGAAACCTGAGTTCAACTGGCAGAACCAGAGCGTTGTTTTTGCACTCTTAACCTCTCCCAAATCCCAAGGGCTCTGCGAGATGGGATGGGACACCGTAGGCTGGATCCAGCTCTTGGCCTTCTCGTGCCTGATCCCCGTGCGCCTGGTGGAGGGACTCGGCCTTCCTTCCACATCACGCTCCGCGTCACTGTAGCCCAGCCCGTAGCCTTGAGCTGCAGTTACCCCAGTGTTCCCTCCTTCTGGTTTGTTGACACGCAGGAACCCTCCGTTGACCATTCAAACCACCCCGAAACCAAGGAAGAACCTATTTCAGTAGGGTTGGTGAAGGCAGGGAATTCCCTGGGCCAAATGCAGGAGCAGGGCTGGGTGCAGCTCCGTGCACGGCGGCTGCTCTCCCACCAGGAGAACCCAGGAGCCTCCGTGCGGCCTGGACGAGGCCACAGAGCAGCCCTGAGCAGCCTGGGGAGGCTTCTTGAGCATGAGGAGCAGTTTCATTATTGGCTGAATGATGTTTGTGTTGGATTCTTGTGGTGTTCCTATTGCAATATTCTTGAGTAAATGCAACTTTTCTTTGGTTTGACTGCAGTGAAACGTGAATTAACTTCTGCTCCCCTGTTGTGTTTTGTTGTTTTTGTTTCCCATAGGAAATGACTTGCAGTTGAGTGAGTCTGGAAGCGACAGTGACGACTAGAGCCTGAGCTTTCCCTCATTCTCACAAAGAACTGATTTACTTTGCAGTGGTCCTGTTGCTTATGAAGAGGAGCTGGCGCAGGGATAGTTTCATGAGTGAAATTTTAATGGAAGAAACGCATCACCCTCCAAACTATCAAATGCTGAAGGCAGTTTTACTTGGTGTATTAAGTGTATATTTTGTGTATATTCTTATTCTTTAAAGTTTTAAATAGATATGTACAGTGAGTAAGCGAATATAAGTTCCTGTCTGTCCCTTATCTGTAAGCTTGATGTGTAGCCTTTTGCAGTCATCTCAAAATTTCTTCTTTGTAGAAGAAATTCAGAAACATTGTGACTTGTCCAGGGAATTTTTGTATATAGGGTGAGCATTAGCCAACAGTGAGCTTAAGAAAAACATACAGGAGCTCAAGTGTGCATTGAAGTGGGATTGTCATAAATTAAGTTTCAACTCTAAGTAGATTTCTCCAGTAGATTTGGGGCTTTTCTAATGTCTTTTTATTGCTATTTATGGTCGGTTTGATGGACATAGTTTTAAACAGTTGGAAAAGAGAAATCATAAAACTTTGTTCATCACAAACCTTGCAGCACCAGTGCCTTATAGCAGGTTTTTTTTAATAGAGCTTGAATTCCTCCCACCTTTCACATAAGGAGCAATACAGAAAACTCTTCAGGATGTTTCTGCAAACAAGAACTATATTTCACACACAGGCCGAGTGCGCTTTGAGAGCTGTTGCTCCAGCTGCGTGAGACACACACACACATCAGGTACCTAAACTCATCTAAATAAGAACCAGAGCAGCATCTTTCTCATGCAACTGCAGTTTCCTGTTCAACTCAGATGTTCAGACCCAGATCTTCAGAAATATTTAGGAGACAGATTCTTGGTGAAACTGCAGTGTCTCAGATCCAAGACATGGGACTTCATGTAGTTTGAGACCGTAGCCCTCTTTGCAGTTTCCTAGAGAGTGCAGAAGGAAGATGGAACTCAACAGCAGATGGTGAAACAGAAGTCTCTCCCCCACTGCAGTTGCTCAGGTAGACTTTAGTTCATATTTATTGCATGGGAGAAAACAAGAAATACTCTCAGAGGGTGAAAGTCACCTCCATATAATGGAGTTTAAAGGAATATCGTTAATTTTCTTGCTCCCATGGAAAAGGGAGCTGGTACACAGGGCTGACTTTTTAAACCTCGAGCTCTAGTAGCAAAGGCCAAGTGACCTGTAAGTTCTGGAGCAATTCAGAAGAAGGCAAAGCTGAGTGGGATGCCTAAATGTCTGCTTTATGCAGCTTCTGTTTGTCTGGTTTTTAACTCCTGTCTGTTTACTGAGCTCTCTTTTCTTTTTTTTTTTTTTCTTTTTTTTTCTTTAGGTGTTGAAGAGCAAGGGGACATTTGAAGGGAGATTTTTATTAAAGGGTTTATTTTTTTGCATTAGATATGTATTTAGGCATATTTTTGCATCCTTGTACGTATGTTTAAGAATACTTGTTTTTTTTAAAGTGTTTTATGACGTGGGTACATATTTTAACATACAATTATGAAATACACTTGATGTAAAGTTACGAGTGATCTGATTTCTTTCTTTCTCTCCTTCTCTGAGCGAGCCGCTGCTCTGTGCTGCCAAGCTCTGCCCCTTGGAAATTCTGCTCTTTGGGGCCAGAGATCTGCTGCTGCCTGCTGGTCTGCAGCCCCATTAACAGTGATCCTGCTCCTGACTTTCCCCCAGCTTCAGATACGGATAAACAGGGAGCTGGCTGGTCGCTGCTGCCATTTCCCTGGTGCTGGAGCACATCCTTGAGGTTTGGTGGGGTTGCTGCTGTATTTCAGCAGCAGTGCAGTGTCTTCTCTCTTTGTCATTACCTGATTCTGAAATCCAGCATTTTTCCATGCATGTGGATGCTGGATCCCAGTGGCTGGCTGGCTGATTTACATCCATAAGTAGAGATTAGAGACACAGCCTCACCTCTGGGTTTAACCGGGGTCCTGAACTGCAGTGTGGCACACACTGAAAAGCAGTAAATGCTGCTGAGCTCTTTCTATTAGATAGTTGCCCAATTTCTATTATGTAGTTGACTTGTGGCTTGTGTTTTGCAGCAAGTTCCTTTCATGTGGAAATTGGAATTCAAATAGCTGCCAAAAAGGGGTTGTTTAGGGTTCTTTTAATTCATTGACTGGCAATGTCTTAATTGCTCTTGCAAAAAAATAAGTTGACTAAAAAATGTTTTGATTAAACCTGTTAATGAAACAGCATCATTGATTATTTCTGATAGATTCTGATCTTGGAGGAATTCAGAACTAACAGACCTTAGCATCTCATGGAAATTTTTTATACAAAAAAAAAGAGTTTTTTTTTTTTAATCTTCCAATTAGTTTAGAACAGATAAACTATGTATCGAGTGCGATTTTCTGAGTAAACTGAAACTGCGAAGCTGTTCCTGTGTGTTCGGGGGAGCCGCCTGCCGCCGGCTTTCCCGCGCGACACGCCGCCACTTCCACCGCCGTGGAGTTTGCGTGGGGACCTCCTCCCAGCGGCACAGCCGTGCCCGGAACCTCCGCAGCCCACAGGGCCCCGGACCAGACCAGCACAGAGGTGCCTCAGCTCGTGCCTGGAATGCTCCCTGCTCATGGAAGAGCCGGGCAGAACACGGGCCCCCAGTGACAGGGTCTGCAGCAGTGACCCTCTCTGCACCCCTTTGTGCTCCCCCAAAGCCGCCCTCCTGGCACAAGTCTTGGCTCGAGCTGTTTTGCTGGAAGGAAAGGGTAATAGGAAAACAGTGCTTGTTTCCTCGGGCATTTAGCATTCCTGCTAGGAATAGCTCTAAGCTTCGTTGTGGGCACTGCATCTATTTCGGACATGCCGTGTCTACGTTGGTCTGCAGAGTTTGCTTTATTACAGACTGGACACGTGGCTGTTCATAGTTACATATAAAAATAATTTGCTGTGCAAAGCATTAGAGCTTTTGTCCGTTGAGCTTTAGAGCTCAAAGTCCATTTGTTTGAATAAAAAATGGAGTTCAACAGTCCGCCTGCGTCGTCTTTTTTTCTCCTTTTAATTGGGAAACTAAAAGAAATGTAGCTTGGAATTAATTAATTAATTATTCCCGCAGCTGCCCATGCTTCACCATGCTGCGTGTCCACAGCTGGGTCGCAGGGGCCCTGTGGACCACGGGGCTGTGCTGAGGGCTCCCGGCACCAGGTCTCCATTTCGGGTCGAGGTGCCCAGTGCACCTGCTTGGCCACAGGTGTTGGTGCACGTGTACGCACTGAAATACGCGCGGTAGGGAAGGGGAGGAAGTTTGCCTTAAAAACAAAAGCGAAGGCGCTGTAGAATCGTTGGGATGGACCTAAGTTGGAAGGCACTGAGGGAGTGTCTCCTGTACATCCTAATCCTGTGCTTAGAAGGAGCCTTGACTGAATCCTAGTCTTGGCTTATATGAAACGAGTGTCTGAAAGGCAAAATATCTGTTTATATGCTCTTCCTACACACTCCCTCTTTTTCCTTTGTAGTACCCTTGTTTCTAGCATGTATATGGGGTTTTGGGGGGTCAGAAGACGCCCGTGTCTTCCCCGGCCCCTCGCTCTGGGTGAAGGGCTCCTCTCCCTGGGTTTTCTCTGTGCTGCTGGACTCTGGTTGTAGCCTGTTTGAAAAGCAGCATGGCCTGAAGGACACAAACTGAGGGGTAGCTTGGAAGGAATTACGTGAGTTGTGACTTGAAGTCCTAAAAAATCCTTCAGTTCTTTCACACCTCTCAGGCTCTTGGGATGAAAGGCCCCTGAGGATCCGAGGAACCTGCACACCGAATGTGTGTTGTTGTGTGTACACTAGTTGTGTAGCAGGACCCTCTGTGAAAAGCCTTTGAGATGCAGGTGTCCCGGGCCCGGCCTGAAGGCAGATGTTCCCTGTGTGCTGGCAGTATGTGTAATGCCAGCAGTTGGCTGCTGCTTTCAGCTCCAACCTGCCCACAAGTTCTGCCATCACTGCTTGGGAACTTGGAGGTTGGCTCCTTCCTTCAAAGCTTTGACACATTCTTAGCGTTCTTCTGCTGCCAGACATCATAATCACGAACAAAAATAACCAAGCATCTGCTCAGGAAAACAGTGATCAAATACTGTAGTCAGCAGCATGTGTTTTCTTTATTTTATTATTATTTGATTTTATTTTAATTCCAGTGCTTTGAGTGAGTCCTGGGCTTGTTGCAGTCTGTGAAGATGCGTCCTGGCTTGGACACCCAGCCCTGTGGCCAGGGGACACCTTGGGGGCACCCAGCCACAGGAGGCCCTGGCCTCCCCTGCTCTTCCCCAGGTGGAGCAACAGACCCCAAGACGGGGGATGTGACCAGTTTCCAAGGGGGGAAACGATCCTGGTTGAAGCCGCCCCCATTCGCGAACGCCACCTTCCCAAACCCAGCCCTGGGCTAACGCTACTTTGCTGCAAATCCATGTTCTTGAGCAAGAGATGCTTTATCCCAGGAATGGACGCTTTATCTCAGGAATGGAGCCTGATCCTTCAATGCAACCGAGCTCAGACTCGGCCTCACCAAGTGGACACAAGGAAAGAGAGCCCCTAGCACAAGGCTGCCAGCCAAGGTGCCCCCTTTGGTGACTCAGTGACACTGCCGTCCAGCTTGGCTGCCCGAGGGCCTCGGCTGCACCACGGAGCCCAAGAGCAGCCGAGATGTGAGGTGAGTGGGTGCTCAGGCTGCACCATGCAGCGCGTCCCATAGGAGCCCCCTCGGTGCCCATGTGCTGATGCAGTCCCCAGGGCCGTGAGCGGGGACGGTGATGGGGATGTTGGCTCTGCGGGTGCCGCCCCGACTGCGCCAAGCCCCACTGCTGCATGAGCGGGACCCCTTCCCACTCCTCGGTGCCGTGATGAGAGCAGGATAAAAACCTTAACAAACACTGCTTAGTCCCAGAAGCATGACACGAGCCTTTGCGCAGCCTCGCTGCGGAGTTAATACATGAATCATGCTGAATAATAACACATGACCAAAGAGCTGAGCCATCTATATGTAATTTTTTTATTAAGTCTTTTTTTCCACAGGAGCAGCTCATGTTGGCACAAGCTGCAGGGCGCCAGCGATGCTCCCATGTAGCGCACGCACCTGGCCGCTCGCCATGAGCAGGGAACCGCAGGGCTGGCGGTGCCGGCCCCGAGGGACCTGGATGTGGATCCGGGATGAGCGCGCCCGCCTCCGGAGCGGGGCTTGGGATCGCACATCAGCAGCCAGGGCTTTCTGTTTTTACCCAGAAAGTTCAAGCGCCCAAGCTTGCCGGCAGCCTGAGAGGAAGTGGTGTTCTTCCCAATACATTTACATCGCTGAAGAGACAGTGCGTGTGGAATCCACTTCCATATGTTTAAAACAGCAGAACAGCACCAATTGTGGCACTTGGAGCAATCAACTAATTTGGGACCAGCATGAGCAGAGCTGCCCCTCATGTGGGAAGCAGGAAGCATCTGCACCTCGGTGCCCTTTCCACGCCTGAAGGAAGAGCGAATCCACTCAATGTGGAATCCACACAAAAAAATATCCTGTCCGTTGGCCTAAAGAGATGATGGTGTTTTGGGGCACCCTAAAATTAACTCTCGGCTCTTAATAATCTGGGTTATGGTACACCCATCTGGCCACATGCACAGACCCAGCAGGGAGCAAGGACGAGATGCTGGCGGATCCTTGCTGGTGGGAAGGGCCAAAGCATTAGGAGCAGCAGAGGCATCTGGTCTGCACTGCGGCAACAGCTGCTCCCCTCACCTTCCCAATGGGATTTTTCTATTCCTAGAAAGTGGAGGCTTGGAGGAGGACAGGCTTGGGGGGGTGTTTGTTAGTTTTTTGAGGTGGGTTTTTTTTTGTAAATTTGTATGTTGGAAAAGGCAGCAGCACCACTAGAAAAAGCTTCTATCTCTCTGGTGTTTTTCTCAGAGTGCAGATCTTCACTCTGCTACCTGCCTGGCCTTCTTAGCCTGAGCGATAGGATGTCTTCAAAAGGACTTGATACTCAAGGGGAGCACGGAAGGATTCCGGGGGGCAACCATTTCATTCCTAATAGACATCAGACCTCTGAAGCCAAGGCTGGAGCCCCGCGAGGTCCAAGGCCGGCCGCCCTCCCTCCACAAGCTCTCCATGGCTCCGCTCTCTCGCGGCAGCTTCCTGCGCTTTGTTCGGCTCCCTTGGCCACGGCCGAGGCTTAAAAACAGGAAAGCAGCAGCCAAGGCCTCCTGTGCCTCCTGGAAGGCAGGATAAAGGCGATTCCCTGCCCAGACCTTCTGGAGGGCTGAGTATCCTCAGAAACAGGGCAGCGGAGGAAGGGGTGGTTTGCAGGACACCAACCTGCCGGTTCCTCGGCTCCAGGGGACTTAAGGGGGTGTCTCCAGGAATTTGCCTTGTCCCCTGCTTCAAGGGGGACAGGCACAAAGGGCAAAGGCGCCGGCAGACATGAGTTAATAAATGGATAAATGGAGCGATGCAGCCCGCACTGGGTCATGTCCCCCTGCCCGGTGGTCCCCAGGACCCCCAGGTCACCCTGTGTCCCTGTGTGAGGCAGAAGCAGTTTGGGCGTGCGATCCCACCGCGCGCTTATCGAGTATTTTGGCAGCACTGGGGTGATTTAGGTGCCGTGTAACCCGTCTGTGTGAGCGGCGCCGCGCTGTGTGACGCGGGCCCTGCCAAAGGGGCGCCGGGCGCTCGCAGCCCCCCGCGGGGAAGCCCTGCGGTGGGCGCCAGGCGGGTGCCGCTCGGGGCCGGGCAAGCGCCCGTCACACGCGGGCGCCCCTACGAGACCCCCGACTTCCAGCCCCCCAAAGCCCAACACGGGGCGGCTCCGTGCGGGTTCGGCTCGCCGCGCTGCCGCCGGGGCCTCCTCGCGGCTCGGGGCTCCGCAGCGACGGGAGCGGCGGGGCTGGAGGCGGCGCCGCCGGGCGGAGCGGAGCGGAGCGGCGCGGAGCGGCCGGGGGGAGGC